AGACCCGCACAGGTTCGAGTCCTGTAGATCGCGATAATTTTTTCTTGAAAGTTGTAAAAAAAGAAATTTAAACACGTTATTTTCATTGTCACAAGGAAAATCAACTAATAACTAGTAATTTAAAAATGTCATCACTTGTACCCAACAACAATAATAACATCAACAACACTACCAAAAAGACAACATCAACACTCACAATCAAAAGAAAAGCAAATACAAGTAATTTAATAGCTTCAGAATTATCTCCTTCACCATCTCCGATTTCATCTTCATCATCATCATGTATTACTACTACACCACAATCTTCATCCTCTACATCATCAATAGCATCATCATCATCATCTTCATCCAATAATAATAATAATAATCGTTCATTTTCATTATTTAATCAATTAATTTCATCTCCATCATCATCATCATCTACTAATAACAATAAATTAAATCAATCTAATAATAATATAACAGTAATACCATTACCTGAGGATAATAACAATGATGATGAAAATAACAATGATGAAAATAATAATGATGAAGATCCTATTGAAAATAATGATGAAAATAATAAAGATGAAGAAGAAGAAGAAATAACAAATGAAGAAATATTTCAATCAAAATCAATAATATCTAAATTAAGTAATAATTCTATTCATAGAATATGTAGTGGTCAAGTTATAATTTCATTAACAAGTGTAATTAAAGAATTAATTGAAAATTCATTAGATGCATCATCTACTTTTATAGAAATTAAATTTACAAATATGGGATTAGAATGTATTGAAGTTTCTGATAATGGAAATGGAATTTCTAAAAATAATTTTGAAAATATTGTTAAAAAACATAATACTTCTAAATTAATTAATTTTACAGATTTGGAAAATATTTCTACATTTGGATTTAGAGGAGAAGCCTTATCTTCAATTTCATGTATGGCAGAATTACAAATATTTACAAAAACAGAAAGTGATAAATTAGGAAATTTAATTTATTATGATCATGATCAAAATATTACTAAAATTGAACAATTATTACGTTCTAAAAATGGAACTACAATTAAAGTTTTAAATTTATTTAAAAATTTTCCAGTTCGACATAAAGATTTTACAAAAAATTTAAAAAGAGAATTTTCAAAATGTATAAATATAGTATATTCATATTCTTTAATTAATAATATTACTTTTATTGTTAGTAATTTTAAAAATAATAATTTTGAAAATATTTTTACATCACATGGTAAATCTTTAAAAGATAATTATGTTTCCATTTTTGGATTGAAGGATTTTAAAAAATTACAAAAAGTTGATTTTATTCAAAATGATCCACATTTTATTAAAATTAATGGTTTTATTTCTTTACCTGAAAAGGGATGTGGAAGATCTTCAAATGATAGACAATTTTTATATGTAAATAATAGTATGTTTTTTTATTTTTTTATTTATTTAATAATTTATATTTTTATATTTAAATTTAATTTATATTTTAATAATTTATATTTTAAAATAATTAGGACCAGTTGATTTACCTAAAATAACTAAATGTATAAATGAAATATATAAAGAATTTAATAGAAATCAATATCCTATATTTGTATTAAATATTTCTATAAATAGTAATAATATAGATATAAATGTAACACCTGATAAAAGAACAATATATTTAATATCTGAACAAGGTATAATACAATTATTAAAATATGAATTAAATTTATTATTAGATCCAAATAAGAGAGTTTATAATTTATCTACTGAATTATCTCCAATTTCTATAAATAGTAATAATTCACAATATTCAAATGAAAAAACTCCAATTTCATTACAATCTTTAATGATTAATAATAATTTAAATAATAATTTAAATAATGAAAGTAAAATAATTAATGATTCCATATTTGATATTAAAAATAACGAAAATGAAAATAACAATGAAAATATAAATATAAATGAAAATGAAAATATAAATATAAATATAAATATAAATGATAATAATAATATATTAGATAATACAAATAATATTCAAGAAAATAAATCTACTAAAAATAAAATAAATAAATTAAAATCTAATATTAAAAATAATGAAAATAAAATTTATGATAAATTAAAAGATTTATATGAAAATGAATCATCAGAATCTTCACAAGAAGATTTAAATATAAATAAAACTACTAAAAAAGTAATTGCACCAAAAAGGAAATTAGCAGTAACAAGAATCAAATTTGATGATTTAGATGAAGAAGTAAATAATGTAAAATTAATTGATAATAATAATAATTTTAAAAATATAACCATTGAAAATGAAATTGAAAATAATTTATTAAATATTTATAAAAATATTAAAAAGAGAAAAATTGAAAATTTAAATGAAAATAAAATTGAAATTAAAAATATTAAAAATGAAAAAGAAACCAAACGTACCATTAAAAAACAAGATTTTTTACAAATGCAAATTATAGGACAATTTAATAAGAGTTTTATACTTACTATATTTAGAAATGATTTGTACATTTTAGATCAACATGCTTGTGATGAAAAATTTAATTATGAAAAATTAAAAAAAGAA